ATATATATATATATATATATAAAACGTGTAGATGATCACTTAAAGATCTTCTCACAAATTTAGAGCTCAACAAACAATATAGCAAAACATAACAAAAATTATCCAACTAGCTCATTAAACTTAGATATATGTAAATGAGTGGCAAACCAAAACAAGTACAAACAGTTTCATCAAGGCTTCTCAGAAATAAATGATTAATAGGCACTACATTGATAGCGCACACACAAATACCGCAAAAACATATCATCAACAAGTTTTTCGATGTTTCATAATATCAAGAATGGAAGAAAAATTTAACAGAAAATTGGAGTGCAGCTCATTTAAAATCGGGCTTCTCCGGGTAGGTGCAGCCGGATCTTTGAATAATGACATTAGCTCCGTAACATCCGGCCCTCACACATTCCTCGATGGGTTTACCGAGAACCAATTGTGACAAAAATCCACCCACAAATGCATCACCTAAAAAAATGGCAAATAGGTAGCTCGTTAGGTAAAGAAATGGCAAATAAGTTTTACTTGTCTAATTCTTAGGGTAAGTAAGAGTGAGATTTATCTAATGATCCTTGGGATAATATATATATGCAGACGGATTCAAGTAGACATTGTGGAAAAGTTTTGCTATTTGAGTTCCACAAAAAAAAAAAAATCACACACCTGCACCATTGGTATCGACAAGTTTCTCTTTTGGCAATGGGATAACGGGCAACAGCTTCACCTTTCCATCCTCGGCAACAACAACTGGGTCCGCGCCCTGTGTAATAACAGTGATTCTCTTGTGGGTCCCGGATGCCTTTGGCAGCTGGGAAATTTTCACGGCTATTTCCTCAACGTTCTCCGTCTGTCCATTCGAAAGGGTAGTGATTAAATTCTACAACAGATTTATAGTAAATATATTAGGGAATATTGTTTTGGTGAAACATATTACCTCCCAGCCATGAACTTTGGAGAAAGCTCTTGCTTCAGTTTCATTTCCAAAAACATAGTCCATGTACCTGTAACCCAAATAAATGTGGTGTGCCTTTAATCAAAATTTGTATGTTTCCAATGGTGCAGCCAATTAAAAAATTCAAGAAACTACACTTACGGGAATACTTTGTCTTGAACATCCTTGAAGAACTCGCAGATAAATGGAGCAGAAAGGTTCGTCAAGAAAATCTACACGTAAATCAGCATTGATCAGATGTTATGGTATGCAGCAAACTAAGGGATCATTTCCCAGAAAAAAATAAGGTTTCGAATAATTTACTTAAAAAGTGCATGTGTCTTCTATAATTATAAAGATCTTTTAGAGGTTTGTATTTGTCTTGCGATAACTTTCCCTCCAAATGTGTGCAGTGCAGTTGTAGAACAGGACATGCTTTGTGATTTTAAAACATAACTAGATTTCTGTATTTATTACATGAACTAATTATCAAGCTTCTTAGTTCTTACCTTGTTATTGGCAACTGCATGCTCAGCAACATGCAAGATAGACTCTGGGGAAACTGTGAGGAAAAATCCAGCAATGTAGTAGAATTTGGCCTTTTCCACTGTAAAAAAGCTAAATAAGTTAAATAGGATTTAATGAAGTTAGACAGTGCCTACAAGTCAATTAGGGCATACCCAGTGCCCAGTTTTCAGGTTTCTTCAAGTGGTCAGGTTTGTAGCAATTTGCAGCTGATAAATTAGCAACGAGTGACCTGTAAAATATTTATACATGACTTAGTTAGCAAGAAAAATGAAAGGCCGATACATGAAATGATATCCCTTTAAAGTTACAGACCTTTCGCCACCAACAACACATACACCACAAGTACCAGTTGGAGAGTCGTCCTCATAATAATGGACCTAGGGCAACCACATGGAAGAAAACAGAAAATTTAAATATTGATTAGGATAAAAAGTTAGCAGATAAATGAGTGATCAAACACAGATAAGCTATTTACATTAACACCAGCTTGTGTAGCATTTTTCTTCATCTCCTCTCCAAACTTGTCTTTCCCAATGGAACCCATGTAACTTGTTGCGCCCGGAATTTGAAGCATCCACTGTAAAATAGCAACTTGGATTATTACACGTTCACATAGTACTTAATTGTTAATAGAGGTAACGAACACACAGATTATCATCAAAGCTAAGTGACATGTTTTTTTTTTTTTTTAATGTACCTGGGCGACTCGGATTGAATTTTGAGTAGCCCCTGCAATGCAAAAGTTAGATTAGCCAAATAATAAACACCGGCATACACAATAACCAACTGGAAAAATTCAAGAACTCGCAGACAATAAACTACCTCCAGCAATGTACTCCACTTTGAACTTGGATGCCATTTCTTCATACCTGAGGGATTATATTAATAATCAAGAATACATCACTAATCATTATTAATCATTTCTTCTTCAAAATACATTATTGCTTCATTTACATTATTTAAACTTTCTATAGATCTATCAACCTCACTCTTGTCATACTACCCAGTGGTTTTGTATTATTTCGACATTTAAATCAATAGCTCAGGAAACATGGTTAACCAATTATCAAGTGTCGGAAAGTTATCCTCCCAACTAGAAGGTGAAACTAAGAAATGCCAACATGGTGACCATTGGCAGCTCATTACACAACCTGACAGCATGCATACAGCAAACTGAATGGGTCCGAGTTTAAACCTATACAGGCATCACTTCTAGATTTAGTCGAGCAGTACCAATCACGATCTTAACAATATATCAACACCATTACGGAGTTCACTGGAGTCCTAAAAACCATGACACTCTGACAGCAATTTATTCGATTTCTACCAGCTGACCAGAATAACAATGCACGGCCAAACAATAACTCCGACAATGGACACAGCCATCAAATTAACTTCAAAGACAATTCAAATCAAGAACATATTCCAGCGTAGATGGAGAAAAAAATAATGTAAATCAAACTACTCACAGAGGTAGATGCTTCTCCTCGGCCAGAATCGCGTTGTTCAGCTTAAGATCATATCTGCCAAGCATAAAAACCACATAAGCTTTTTCA